TTCAATAATACATCAAAGCCAAATTTCATTTGTGTATACAATCCAATAGCATACCAGTCTAAAATCTCTCCAAAAACATTCATTATCACATGCACAAAAATACTACCATAAAGTAAGGTACAATTTAGTATACTAATATGATTTTTGGGTTCAGATTCAACATGGGTCTTTCAAAAACCAGTCTCATCTTCCTAGTGCACTAATGATTCTTACATGGCAACTCTTACATGGGAATTGTTACTTTCAGCAATTATTTCATTAGTTTTCGATAGCATTCAAAAGTTCTGAAACCATGTTATAAAACATCTTCTCATAAATGATGTAATGCATACATCCTGCTTTAATGGCAAAATTTTATCACTATTAAATTCTGTAGCTGCAATCACAAATAGACCTCAGAGTCAGATTTTTCTAAGTCACAGGCTCATCTGGGGTGGGGGAATCTGGTTTGACTTTCTGACATCATAGAGAGGGAAACATGAGACCCAGAGAGGCTGAACAAGTAAATAAATGCCACCAACACTAAATGGCTGGGAATCAGCCTTGGATGTTCCAGTCTGCATCTTCTCTCTTCTTCAGAGGAATCTGGAAGACAATGGAGAAGCCTGATCTGGCCTTAGGAAGTCAGGTGTCAGAGCTGGATATGGTCTCCAGCTTTCACTGAACACTCAGGTTTTACTGACTTTGGCTTTTAGGTGGTTATGCTCCATAGAGGATTCTGACAGTGAGTGCAATTATCACATCCCACTACACTATTATTACAAAACAGGTGGAAGTCACTGATAGTCATTCAACATACCATTTATAAATATATTTGCTATATTTTTTCTAGTCTATTATTGAGATCTTATATTAGCATATTATAATTAATGAACCTATATATATATATCATTATTGCTTCTAGTTCATATTTACTTCAGATTTTCTTAGTTTGTACCTAATGTTTCTCTTTTGTTGGAGGTCCCCTATTATATTTGTTTTATTTTTCATTGAGAGTAAGAGACACAGATAGCGACAGAGAAACACAGACAGAGAGACAAAGAGGCACATAATTTTTTTCAGTCAATTAAGAGCAAAACTTACAGACTACTGTTGTCATATTCTCTAAAGAAATGGGCATATGTTAATGAGGTGCTCTGGAGTTTTAATTATGAGAAACACACTGTGGATAAGAAGAAAGCTTAGGTTAAAAAGAATGCAACATCTGGAAGGAACTGGCAACATGGCTCTGATTGCAATATAGACTAACAAAATCTAAAAAGCAAAGGATAGGGCAGAGTAGTGTGAAAATTTAAAGTAATAACAAGCAGTTCACATAAAACCATAGTAATATAGCACAATTTTCCATCATTTACTTTAGGGAAGTTTGCATTTTTGAATAGAGATTCAGTGATAGTTTCCTTGCCAATATTTATGTAAAACATTTTCCAAACAAGGCTGATTCATCTTACCCTGAAATGAATTGTTAGATCACAACAGAGAATGTTAAAGCGTTTGCATCTCTTATGGAAATGCCAAACATTTTACTTTGCCTGATGCTGTACTATAAATGGGAGATTCAAATGCTAAAAATGTTATACAATTGCCAAACATAGTTCTTTAGCATCTACTTTCTTGGTACAAGTGACTTGTTCTCCCAAAGTTTGAAAGTGAAAGCTAGCTACAATTCAGAAAAATGCTATACCTACCCCTAGTTAATAAAACATGAACAGTATTTTATGCACATGGTATTTCTTTTTGTTTAGATAATTTTCATTGAAATGCTTCTTTAGACATTTACTGAAGTTTTGTTAAACAGTAGATACTCCGATGACAGTTGGTTTTGTAAATTAACAGTTGGAACAGCCAAGCAGCATCAATATTGTTGGAAAATAATGATGCTGATTTAAATAATTTTTAATTTTGTTAGCTGCATTTCAGCATAATAGTAGATGTAAAAATTATTTGCTACAATAAATGAACAGTAAAGTCAGAATTTGAGAACTATTAACTCACCAAATAGGACAATATAAATAATGCCCCAATATCCAAAAATGTGAGAAAATTAAAATTAAACTAAGATATTTTAATGGATTAAGTAGAATCGGATTTCTTGGACCACAGATTTAGCTCAGTGGCATAAGTGCCTACCTTCCAATTGCAAGGCCATGAGTTTGATCCTTGGTACAAAAAAAAAAAAAAAAAAAAGAAATCAACTTTTGTTGTCAAAAGAACAATAAATGAGAAAATGCCACTGACTTATGGTTGGCATTTCAAGACAGTACAGGTATGTCTATAGGATATTCCTTGCAAAAAAGTAGAGGTAACATGAGCAATATAGGGATTTGTGTAAGGTATTTAAGGTCAGCATTCCTTTGAAGAGGGTGTCACAGAGGAAATTATAGATCTATGACATGGACACAGCCAGGCAGGACGAGAATGGCTTCATGACATCTTCCAATCAACTGGCTGTCCCATTGGTCTTTAGTCTCCCTTTCGCAACTCACTAGGCTCACATTTAAAGTCACGTCCTCATGAATGGCAAGATTTCCTTTAAAAACTGAATACAGATGATTATGGCAACCTCTTTTATTTGCTATATTAATAGTGTCATCTGTTTTGACTTGCAGAATTCAAATTCTGCAAGACTCCACAGGTTAAAATAATTAAAATAACTCCTATGGTGATTTTATGATACATGAAAAATGACTTAAGTAAAATAATTTGATTTGGAGTAAATTATTATTAAACAAATTATCAAATTCATTTAAATACAAACTTTACTCATATTTTGACTTGTCAGTTAACATGTGCTATTTAATTTACTTTATTCATTTTAAGATGAAATGCATGTTTGTAGACAATTGGAAATGACATAATATTCTTGGTTTGAGGATTAATTATGTAAGTTTCAAGTTATATTCAATATCTCATAATACCCAGAAAGACAGTTGTATATATGAACTAATGTTTTGATATTCTGCATTTCAGACAACAATCAACCTACAATAATTTTTGTGTTTAATTAGAAAGATGTAAAGATGTTTAATTAAAAAGATTTAAAGTTTGAGATTGCTATTTTAATTAAGTAAGCCTCTTCAGTTAAAATATATTGTGTTTTATTTGACCGCGTTGTCAGCTTTCCAGAAGGGGAAGGACACACACACACACACACACACACACAGAGTCCTTAGTCACCTCGGGCTCTTAGAGGCCACTGCATTGTGAGGTTCTGCACTGCTCAGGACAAAGTGGGTACACACAACTTTAAGAAGCCACAGCATCAAGCCCAGTTAGAGGTTTGCATAGTGCTTTAAACCTTTGCTTTTGCCGTTGTTGCCTTTCCAGTGCTGGACTTTGTAGGCACAGTACCCTTTCAAACTGTCCTGAGAAGTGAACTGTTTGCACTAATGCACATCTTTAAATGTGTTTCATCTTAGGCAGCACACACTTGCTTCTGTGAATCCAGTAACAGGAACAGGTTAATATTCATTTACATCAAAATGAGTGTTAGTATATAAGGAGCAGTATCAAAGCAGGTCTGGTATTGCATACAGTGTTTCTGAACTTCTGTGACTGTAATTTCTAATAGTACAGGATTTAGATGGGCATATTCCTCCCTTAAAGACCCTGTTTTTACATAGTGAATCTATAATGCAGGAGAAAGAAATCACTGGCAAGAAAACTATTTTCCCAAGTTGTGACTTGCATCTCAATAATGAGATGCCATTAAAAATATTTTTAAAAAAACTCCTAAGCTGATCTGTTCCTTAGAATTTTGAGATTTCCCACTGCTCACTATTTTCCCATTCTGTATGCACAGCACAGAGTCCTGCCAGGCCTATTACAGTGAGCAAACAATGTCCTCTCTGTCAGAACAGAGAATGAATAGTATCCCAAAATTCTCCTCTAATGTACAGCCTACATTTCCCTGACCCCAAACCCTTCAGAAGAGAAAAAGCAGGACAAGGGCTGAGGCGGAAAACCTGACTCTCCCACTGCCAATCTGAAACTGTCTCCTAGAACACTAATGGCTAAGTAATGTCAACCATATATTAACTTCCAAGGAGAGCAAGTTGACAAGTATATTTTCTTTTAAATTGGATCATATACTTTGCATTTCTGTGTCTATAGGTACACGATATCTGTATAAGGAAAGAAGGAGACATCATATCAGATAAAATTTCAGGGCATAGCAAAAATAGCTTATCACAACAAACAGCATCAACAGGGGAACTTCAAATTATGTTAAAATACTGGGGGCTAATTGATGAATTCAGAGACTATCTATCAATTCAGCTGCTTCTGTTTTAAGCTCCAATTCCTACTATGATCATGATTCATAAAGGAAGAACCTCAAGCTAGTCTGAAACATATGACATTATGCTGACAGATTTATCTTTGGTATTAGGATCTGTCTGCTTGTCTGTCTCATACACCCGTCCTCACTCCTCAAGAAGCGTAAGGATCTAATTTTCCAAAACAAGAACTTCATGTATTTCTCATGAACCAATGAGCAGGTATTACTTAGCAGGTATTATCATAGAATAATAGCGGTTTCCTTAAAATCATCTTTATTTGTAAGTCTTAGTTGATGGAAGATATTACAGTTCATCCTTTCCCCCCTTGTGACAAGAATATAGCATATATTTTATTTAACCTTTAATGGGAATTACCTAACTCATTCCTCATAAAGGAAGAGATATTTTTATAGTTAAACACGCTGGCTTTTGTTTTCATGAATCTCTGTAATAAGAAAAAATTCCGGCTTTCCATTCTCTCCCTTTTCCCACACATTTGCAGTGCTGCTCAATGAGCTCCCAGATTCTAACGACATTCTCCTGGTAACACATTTAGCAGGGGCTGCAAGACACCCCAACAGCTCTGCTTTCTTTTCTTCTCTCTCTCCCTACCCCAGGTCTGTATTATGCTGAACAACTAAACCTTTGTGCTCTGAATGGCCACTGCTGTCTGAAAATTCTAATGATGTGCCCCCAGATGGGTACAATGGTATTATTTACCTTGGAGAGATGTTTGCTCAAAAAAGTATTCCAAGCTCTGGCAAAGTACCTCTTTGAAATGCTGTTATGGTAAGAGTCTCTCTTCTTTCTTGGCCTATAACCAAAAAGAAAATTAGAAAGAAAAGCTGTCAGAGATACTTGCCCAGTATACTGTAAAAATGTTGGCATACTTTTGCTAACCATTGAGCTTTACATTCTTTCCTAAACAAAGCAAACTGCACAGTTTAATTATAAACAGGCATAACTACAAATATCAGTGAATAAATATAAAATTGTCTCTAAAATAACAGCTAATTCAGTATCTAATCAAACACAAATCCCTATACTTGCTCTTCCCATATTTTCCCCAGTTTATGACAAATTTGTGTGCTATGGTGGCAGCATTAGAGCTCAAATAATTGTTATCTGACTTTGAGATGAAACAAATGATTTATTTGAAAAGAGTATTTATCCTTTAAGGCAAAGTGAGCTGTGATTTGATTCTGAAAATTTCTTATCAAAAGGAGAGCCGGGTGCAGAGTAAATAGTGTGACCTGAATGATGTGTGGACCCAATCCTAGGTGTATGCTATCATTGTACTGCGAAAGCGAGGAGGTGAGCAGAGATGAGGGCACCGCAGGGATGATTTCCTCAATCCTATCTGTGGTTCTATATTGCTTCAGCCTGGCGCTTCCTTCATCCTTTTTTCTCTCTGGTTCTCTTCCCATCCTTCAGTAAGCATCTCCTATGCTGGACATTTACTTCACAGAATACACCAGGACAGGTACAATGTCAGAGAGAGCAGAGGGAATGAATGAATGAATGAATGAATGAATGGATCCATATCCTAAGGACAATCTCCTGGCTGCTGACTAAGATATATTATCTTTCAATTATATTGGCACACTGAAGCACATTTTCTGATTTTCAGTATAGAAAACTGGGCACATGAACCTTACAGATTCACACCTACAGATGTTCTTGTGGCTACATTATCATCTCAGACCATGGTGCTTTCTTCTGTTACAGTGTCAGCAGATTATTTATATTATCTAAGGTTTTCCTGCCAGTTATCAAGCAAGAAGGCTGCCTTTTGTTTGCCACTAAATTCAACTACATGATTATTTTCTTATTTTTTAGAGTAAAACTGTAAGATCAGAACAAGACACACAGTCATGGACTGTCTGGCTCAACCTGACTCCAGGTCTTTCACTGTCAGTCACGCCGAGGAGGAGGAAAGGGTTTCACCGAGTGGAGTGCTTGACAGATAAGCAGGTTGCCAAGCCACTGCTCTACCCTTTCATTAAACTTCAAATTAAACCTCCTTCTAACCCCCTGACACACAGATATATTTAGATGTGGGTTCCAATTGTAAATCTCTCCACTTTTCCACATCTGTGGTTAGTCTTGGAGAACTGTCTTGAATTAGTGAGAAATACAAGCAAAATTAAAACATCCAAATTAAATTGCATCAGGTAAAAAATAAACATTTTTCTTAAACTTCTAAATGCTATGAATGTGATTTAGAAAAAAGATTTCAATATATTCTATTATTAGATGAATGAAGAGCTTGACTTGAAAATTGAATTTGACAGTTAATAATATAAAAGTGGTACATGATTTTGCATTTTCAAAACAGAAAAATCATAAACTAAAACTATTCTAAAGAGACAGTGAAGACAGTTCAGTACATAAAGACAGACATATAGATCAATGGAACAAAATTTAGCTTCCTAGGAAGTAAACTGCTATTGGTAATTAAACATACTTCTAATTATTCAACTGTATGGTCAGTTCATTTTGTTTTTTGACAGAGATGCCAAGACTGCTCAGTGGAAACAGACTGGTCATTGCAACAAACGGTGCTGTGACAACAGATAGCTACATGCTAAAGAATGAAGCTGATCCTTAATTCAGGAAAACCAAAAAGTTAATGTAAAATGGACTGAATACCTGAACTTATAAGGTAAACTACAAAACTCATTAAAGAAAACTTTAGAGGTAAATCTTTATGAGTTCAATTTTGGCTTGACAATTTAGACACACCACCAAATGTACATGCATCAGAAGAGAAAATAAATTGGATAGAAAAAACTATGCTTTAAAAAACACTAGACAGTAAAAAGACAACCCAAACAATAAAAGAGACTATGCATATATCACTTGGTAAGGGACTTGTATATATAATATATAAGGAACTCATTTAATTCAATTAAAAGACCAAATAACCTAACCAAAGATAAGCATAGGACCTGAAAGACATTTCTTCACACAAATGGCCAATAAGACATGAAAAGATGCTCCATATCATTGTCAAGTACACATCAAAGCCACATGAAATGTCATTCTACACTTGCATAAAAACCCCTAAGATAGTAACAAGTGTTGGGAAGGATATGGAAAAATCAGTACATTCAAGCCCGGCTGCCAGGGGTGTAAAATGATTCATATTATTTGAAAATAGTCTTGTAGCTCTTTGAAAGTGTTAGACAGAGACTGACCATTTGACTCAATAATTTAACCCCAAGATATACACCAAGAGAAATGGAACATGTATTCACAAAAACTTATACATAGATGTTAACAGAAGCATTACTCTTAAGAGAGAAAAAGTAGAAACAACACAGATATCTATCAACTGGTGAGGAGATTTAAAACAGAGTGTATTTGTATAAAAGAATGACTCAGTCCTAAAGTGGAAGTACTGATACATGTTTTTTCTTATTTATTTATTTATTGGTGCTGGAGACTGAACTCAGGGCCTCATGCATGCAAAGCAAGAACTCTACCACTGAGCCACATTCCCAGCACTCTGACACATGTTACCATACAGATGTATTCTGAACACTTTTGGTAAAGAAGCCAGTGATAAAAATTCACATACAAGTTTGATTCTATTTATAAGAAATGATCTATATGGGCAACTATATAAAGAAAGAGGATAGATTAGTGACTGCTTAGGGATGAGGAAAACTGAGGAGGATGACAAGTATTCTAAAATTGATGGATATTCAACTCTAAATATACTAAAACCCATTAAATCTCATACTTGAAATGATGAATTGTACAGTATGCAAATTGTATCTTAATAAATCTCTCATCAAAAAAATTCCAAGGGATGTGGACATTACAACATCAGTAATTTCCAGACACCCCCAAGGAAATCTTTCCATGTGTCGTTCTAGGTGGATCACCAGAGCTGCTAAAATGAAGCAGACAGCTGAGCTCCACTGCAAACTGTCCCATTCTGCCTGAGATGACGTGAGTGTAATTCTGCATTGTCCAAATACTCCTTCAGGTCCTTTTATACCTGGATGATTATCTCCTTACATGGACAATAATGAATGCAAATGATTGTTGGCTCAAACAGAAACTTTATGCTTTTGATATTAATTTCTTTTTCTGTTCAACAGTATTTTAGAACTTTTGAAATCAGTTATTTACTCAAATATGACAAAAAAAAAATACAGCATGGCTACTCTACCTGCACAGCTAAATCAGGAGAATGCCAGGTCCAGCACTGTCTCTACCCCACTGACAATTTCCCCGAGGCCTGTGGGTAGGTTCTCAACACTGATGGTAACATGCAGAAGGAGGCTCAAGCAAGCGAAAAAGAAGATGACTTCATATGTTTACAAGCTAACCTAAAGACTCTGACAAAAGCCACTCAGAGGAAGTAAAATGAGTTTAATTTCTGGGACACTGGGCCCTCAGGGATGAGATATGCACCTGACAGATGGCCTGGACTGAGCCCCTGCTGGCAGTGCTTCCTGATTCCTAGTTCAAATTTAACAGCGCTTCCCAGGGACGAAACTGTGTGGGATGGAGCAAGCCCTTCATTACGAAAGGGTGTAGGCTGGCCTACATTTGGTTTACTGGTTTCTTTCCATCACAACATAAAGAATAGTAATTATGGGGATGTCATTTGCAAAAACATGCTGTGGTAATAGGAAGGACTGGTAATCCTATTTCCTTTTTTGTCTTCAGGGATTTTTGAGTAAGAGCATCTCTGTTATTACAATATCCTCAAATCTACTCTGATTTTAAAAAACTAATTTACTTAATGTAAAAATACTTGAGTGATGCCTGTACATCAGGCAATGTGATCCATATAGTACGAGGAAACACAGGAACAGAATGAGCCGAAAGTTCCAAGTTCAAGGTGCCAAAGTACGAGGGAAGCACGGAAGCCGCTCCTGGAGAGCCAACTGCATGGCAATAAAGGCGGCAGGAACGTGGTGGCGCCGCCCCAGTGGTCAGGCCAAGGCAGCAACACCTTTTTGGCGTGGGGAATTAAAATTCAACACCAAATTCAGCCAACTCCGTGCAAGACCATGTGGATGAGACAGACGGAGAGTGTGATCAGGCACATGCTCCACTGGACCGTGAGTGTGTTCAAACACCCTAAGCGTTTCATGCTGTAGTCAGAACGCATTCAGATTTGGGGAGAGCCAGACAATGCAGGCAGAGGAACAAACGGTGGGGAAACTTTCAGGGAAGGCAGGAAAAGACACACTGGGGACTGACTCGCTCTCCGGCTTTTCTCTTCTAAATGACTCAGCTCAAAGGCAACTGTCCAGAAGCAGCAGCACATGGATGAAGAGTGGGACAGAACCCTGACCTCTGCTGGTCTTCACACCACAGTTTGCTGAGGAAGCTCAAGATGACGAGAGCTTTTTTTCTTTGACCACCTACATTATACTGTTGATCTACATGATACGAGATTTGACTAAAACAAATACAAACGTCTTTTGAATATGATGTTGCTAACTTATGTGTCTCCTTCTGCAATTTTACTTGGGCAAGGCTGCTTACATGATCCAATCCATGTAGCAGTTCTGCTTCTTAGCTTCAGGTCACTGTGTTAAATGTCAAGCTGTTGCTGAATTCTGCTTCTGCCATTTGTTACAGTGGCTATCTCTCCAGCTCACGGTCATACATGTATAGAATTTTAGCCAAGTGAGGCCTAAGACAGGATTAGGATAGAACACCAAAAATCTCCCTCCAGGAAGATAACAATTTATTAATCGATTCCTCTGGGTTATACCCACCAAAGCAGCTATTAATCCAGTTAACTACACACACCCTTCAATTTGTCCAAATGACAAATGTTAG